CTCTATCTTCTCATATATTCTAATAAGCTGGTGTGGTAAACCACTGTCAGGCAATCTAAACTTCAGTTTTTAAAAGGCATTTATGTGCTCAGTCTTTAATAACTAATATAAATAAATATGTTGCCAGAAACATGTTGGATACTATATGAAATGTTAAAAATACAAAATCAACACACTCTACTGTGAGTGACACTGCTAGGTCCATTATGACAGACACCAAGTCGGTATTATTGATCACCATAACCCAATTCTTAGGACAGTGCCAGGCATACAAAAAACATTCAAATGACTGTATGCTGCTAAATAAAAGACATCCCACAGCACAAGAATGTGTATACAGATAATCATAACATCCTCAGTGTTAACAAAGAACCATAAGACAACAGCAACAGAAGTTATATTTTTGCTTGATTAGATCTAAAAGACTTTGGAAACTAAATGACCACCAAAGGTAACACTTGAAAGACAAGATTTTGACAGACATGGAAGCAGTAGGGTAGTGACAGGCTGAGTAGGGGGAGTTAGATAAAACAGCTTGAAGCCAAGAAAATATTTGGCATTTCTACTAAATTTTTAAACATGGGCTTACCTATTGTTGCTGCAAGTTCTGGATCAAAAGTATCATCTGTGAACCTCAAGAGCAGGCTAAAAGAGATGTCAAAAAGGCAGATTAGTAATTTTGACTTTTATTTGGTAAATCTTCCTGTTAGACACAATTTAAAAGAGCTGATGTAGTCAGCTTCTAGAAATATGGCCTCACTGCAGGTATATTCAGAGAAACTAAGTTATTGGAAAGGCAATTAAGAATCCCCAAAGCAGTTTACTAGAAAACTTATTTCCCATGCTCCATTTCCTAAGTATGAAAAGAGGGTTTTATTTTTTTCTTATACAACTGTACTGGTATGCCCTTCTGAGAAAATGGTATTAGCAAACATGTAATGCTTTAACTGACATGGACAAAAGGGGGAAGAGGAAGTCTCTTGGAAGGCAACAAATTAAATTTTTAAGAAATCTATTGTGTCATCCACTCCAAATTCAGGTAAAAACAGAAAGGTGTGAAGTCGAGCATTTTGAAACAAGTAGTCTGACTATTATTTACCTAAGTGGGAAGAAGAGATACAATAAAAAGTATGGGCTGAAGGTCACATGCTGGCCAGAGTAGGTTTCCTCTGGCAATGCTGGGTAAGGTGCATGAAATCAAGTCAGCAATATGCAGCTACCAAAGGCTGCCAAAGAAAGGAATGGCAGGAACTGCTCTATATTTTGAAAAGTTAATGCCAGCAAAAAAAAAAAAACAACAAAAACCCACTAAGAAAATCAACAGAAGACAACTGCCATGATTATAGTACGGGATAATGAAGGACTACACCTAGGAAATGGTAAAGAAAGGAAGGAATGCATGAAGTGAAAGGAAAAGATAATCACAAAAGTATTCCAAGATTTTATCTTCCAGAATTATTTTATTTAATATAAGGCAGAAATGTCAGTTATTAGAAGTTCTTAAAAAATAAAACCTAAGTTTTTGTTAAAGCCCTTTAGATTTATAAAATTAATAAATCTCTCCTCACATTATCCCTAAGTAGGATGAGACCACTCTATTGACTTACTTGCATTAATAAAATCAAGACAATAACTATCTTATGTCTCAACTGCAGGGCACAAAAAAACATATGACTATTTCTGTAGACTGTAACTATTGCTGCTAAAGACTTTTTTTTGTCCACAGGTATACTGCAAAACATAATGGCCTCTTGGTACTTTCCAAACCCAGTGTCATTAATTCTATTTGAAGGACTAACTCTCCCTTTCCCAGTTTTGCTTTCCGGTGATCACAAAACCAGCACTACAAAAGCAAAGTAAAACAAAAGAATCAAATTGGAGATTTTTCTACTTAACATTGAACTATAACTAATTTTATTTAACTCCAACATGAATTAGGCGACAGCACTAGTAAGAATCTTAAAAGACTACTCATAAAAATTTTCTTCTCTCCCCAACATTAAACTTCAAATTAGGGAAGCCAAAAAATTTGTTACTCATAATTTAAGAATAGAAAAGTTGTATATTTAAACTCATCACCAAAGAAAATATTACAAAAATGTAGACCCTTACCGAGCACTACTAATAATGATACCATAACAATAACATAAATGATAAGAACAGTATGGGCTATTATTTATTGAACTTGGAAAACGAGCCAGATACTGAGCCAGGGGCTTTTCTTATATAATTACTAATCCTTAAAACATCACTTGTCATTAACATTATTTTGTCAAGAAAGGCAAGGATGTAAAACAACAAATTTTAATACAGGCTCCGAGGATAAGGGAGCAGATCTTAGCCATGGGTACACTGTCAGATGAAAATGTATCCTAAATTCTATGTGTGCATTTTTCTAGGTAGGGAGTCTATTTCTCTCTTAGATTTTGAAAGGAATTCACAACCTGAAAATGATTAAGCAACACTGTTCTAAAGGATGTATGGTTAAGCCTTCATTTTCAATGGTCAAGGAGCAAAATACTGAGCTGTAGATGGAAGAAGTAACCCCTGCCATTCCACTTGGAAGAGACCAAATGTATAATTAATCAGTGTGATTACAACTAAGGTGCATTTCTCAGTTTACAAATGACACTGGTCAAAAAGGACAGAGATGTAAGAGACACAGAGGGATAGCAAAGTAAATAACAGCATGTCTCTATAATCCCTTCCAGTTCTGAAACACCTTGCTACTTCTCTACTTCACCGTGGGCTAGCCACGGAATCAAAGAATATTACACATTTAACACTAGATAGGTTTGAGAGATTTCTACTCCAACCTCACTTTTCAAACAAAGAGATGAGGCCTAGTGTCTGAGTGTCACACACAAGGTCACACAAGTGGCAGCACCAGTTTCATCATTCTGATCTCCTGATCTCACACATGTTCATTAACTCTAAGTATAAAATAAACTGGAAAAATAACCCACTAGTCTGAATGAGTTAAGATCTCCTTTGTTGTGCAATGACTTCTCAAGAACACACATGATACCTCACTTTCCTTAACTCTAGATTTACAGAGAAATAGAAACTATTGGTTAGAACAACTGTGTAGGAATATATTGATGTCAAATGTTTTTGTACTAACTCACCTTAAAAAGCATGCTACATGCTAAATCGCTTCGGTCATGTCCAACTCTTTGCAATCCTATGGACTGTAGCCCGCCAGGTTCCTCTGTCCATGGAATTCTTCAGGCAAGAATACTGGAGTAGATTGCCATTTCCTACTCCAGGGGATATTCCTGACCCAAGGACGGAACCCAAGTCTCTCATGTCTTCTGCTTTGGCAGGCAGGTTTCTTTACTGCTAGCACTACCTGGGAAGCCTCTTAAAAAGCACAGGCTTCTAAAGAGTCATTTACTCTCATTTTATCTAGGAAGATAAGCGTTCCAAGTTTTTTTACACAGCATATCATGTCCACCAGTAATGTATATCAAGCTGAAAAGATAAAGTAACTTTCTCCCTAAATGCAACCCTTTCTTGAATGAGATAAAGGTGTTAAAATTTTGCAGTGAGCTTTTGAGGTGAGAAAAAATTTGGAGCTGATAAACTCCAAATAAATTTGTTTGCCAGGAGGGAACCAAGGAAACCAATAAATCCACTTAACAGATTTTACTCCAGAGAAAGAATATCAACTTTCACTGTGACTTAGCAACTACAGAACAAAAACAACAATAGGAGTGTTTACTCTGGGCTTCCTTGGTGGCTCAGATGGTAAAGAATCTGCCTGCAATGCAGGAGACATGGGTTCAGTCCCTGGGTTGGGAAGATCATCTGGAGAAGGGAACGGCTACCCACTCCAGTCTTCTGGCCTGGAGAATTCCATGGACTGTACAGTCCATGGGGTTGCAAACAGTGGGGCACGACAAAGCGAGCTTCACTCAGTCATCCATCCAATCCATTTAGAATAGGCACCAACCAACCATGTTTTGGCCTGAACCACACAAAACAACATTCAACCAGTCTTGACTTCAAAATCAGCAACTTCATATGCCTTAACTTAAAGGAGAGTCACATCTCAAGAAGAAAAAAAAGGTCACGTGGCCAGGGAATTCCTAAGACAATACTCACATATTACTTAACTTTTTAACCCTCACATATACTAGATGGTGATAATGAAAATGGTATTACTCAGCCCTTTAAATAACACATACACACACAATCATACTATTTTTTTTTTAGCCTGCAGTGTTTCATTTCTTATTCCTTGTTATGTACAAATTCCTCACTCCAATACACAAAGTATATCAAAAGAAGGAAATTATGAAGATATCCTGTCATGCTTTAAAAGTCCATAAAGCTGCAGAACACGTTACAGAATAAGATTTCAAATGCTTAAATATCTTAAATAAGATCTCACGAAGTAATCTGAAAGATAAGCTTATAAGGAGGCATTGCTAAAATACGAAATTGTTTACAGCTCCTGGAATTCGGATCTTATTTAAAGATCAAAGCAGCCTGGGACACACCCTACTCATAATCGGATGACAAGGATAACTTCACCCTGAGAACTTTGCTCTAAAACCTGGATGAAATCACAGCTCTCTCCCAACATCCAGCAAGTTCCACGTCTTTCCTAACACTCAACTTTAACCACTGCCAACATTATCCCCCGCCCCACCCCCCGCAAAAACCTTCAAGAAAGAAAAGACATATACTAACGTGTTTCGTTACCTCTATATGACGTGGCAGAGCAAGAAAACAATTACACTGGATTCTCAAAAGTAGTCCATAGCTTAAGCTCCTGCATCTTAGACCAAAGTGAATTATTTAAGCAGTCAGAAGACTGATGAGTTCTTTCACAGCTGACTCATTAAAAAAAAAAAAAAAAATTGGCTACAGGGTGCACCGAAATAGGCCAGGAATGTGACCTATGGCGTCACGAAACTTCCTGTGAAGAACTTCATGTATTTAGAGAAAGCCCGATAGAAATCCCACGATGTTCAAGTCACAAGCTCTCCGCTCGCGGGGTGACAGGCAGCTCGATCCCCGGGGCCGGGAGGCCTCTTCCCTCCGCCGGACTCGGGCCCCGACCCGCCCGCCACGCCCTAGGCGCCTCTGCGGCGGCGACCCGGCCGGCCCAGCGGCGCCCTCGGAATCGCTCTTCTCCCGGTGCGACAGGAAGGGACGCGATCCGGGGAACCAGGCCGGGCAGAGGCCGCGGGGCCGCGAGCCGAGTTCGCTCCGGCCGGGCCCGCCGCGGTTTACCGTTCCCGCCAAGGCCCCAGGAAACAAGCCGCAACCGAGGAGGAAAGAGCCCGACACCGCCATCACGGCTCGCAGACCCGTCTCACCTGGACTTGCCCACGCCGCTCTCGCCGATGATGAGGATCTTCAGGGTGGTTAGCACGTCCTCGTCCATCCTGACCCTGCTCCGCACCGCGAGCAGCTGGCCGCCCCTTCCGCTTCTCAGCCCTTCCCCCCGGGGCGAGCTACCGCGCATGCGCCCCGCCCCGCCGGGGGCCACCTTCCTTTCACACCGGGTGTTTAGCTTTTGCAGGGGCCCTGGACGCCCCAGTTCCGCCTGGAGGTAGAGCTCTGCGACTGCGTAAAACCCGGAGGCCCGGGCGTCCTTCCGGGGAGGGGCCGTCTTACCTTGCGCAAGCGCAGAGGAAGAGAGCCCGTATTCGGTTTCACGCCGATTCTCTAGAGTATTTCTCCTGCCTCACATTAACGTAACCGTCTTTTCATGGTGCTTGGAAGAGGTATGAGTTAGGGGCGTGTAGTGCTCTTTTATTTCGGTAGCTGCTCAGAACAGCTGCATTGCAGTGGGAAGTCTGGTGCGTGAAGGCATGATTATCTTAATTTTAGTTCCCAACCACCGTGTATGCTGTGTGCTTAGTCGCTCAGTCGTGTCTGACTCTTTGCGACCTCATGGACTGTAGCCCGCCAGGCTCCTCTGTCCGTGGGGATTCTCCAGGCAAGAATACTGGAATGGGTTGCCATGGCCTCCTCCAGGGGATCTTCCCCACCCAGGGATCGAACCCAGGTCTCCCACATTGCAGGCGGATTTTTCTTTTATTTATTTTTTTTTTACCGTCTAAACCATCAGGGAAGCCCAAGAATACTGGAGTGGATAGCCTATCCCTTCTCCAGAGAATTCTTCCGACCCAGGAATCTAACCGAGGTCTCCTGCATTGCAGGTGGAGTCTCCACAGCCTGAGCCACCAAGGAAGCTCATAGTCATAGGGAACATTTTTAAGACTTGAAGTTTGGGATGACCTATGAGCAAGCCTAGTTTGGAGGAAGGGATGGTAATTATGAAACGACTTAGAAGTGTGACGGGAGGGCGCCCTAAATCTGTGCTGTCTGCAAACGTTCCCACAGCAGCAGCAGGTTCAGAAGGGGCCAGGTCAGCAAGGGGAAAAAAATGGTCAGATTTGGACCACTGCCACTTCTGCCTCTTTTTCTGTTCCTGTCAGCATCAGGGAAGAGAAGACTTAGACATGCTGCTTGCAGAATTCACAAGCTCTGAACAGGTGGCAACAGGAGCACTGTGAGTCACGGCTTGTCCAGGGCTGCTCCTACCCAAGTGTGAGAGGCCTTTGAGACTGCAGTTCAGGTGCTCCTGGTGAGAAAGAGTCCTACAGCGTTCCTCCCCTCCCCTCCGCCTAAACTCCATTGGCCCCTGGCTAAGCAGAGGTTCCGAACAACACCCTACCTTCTGGGTATCTCCTACCTCCATTGTGCACAGGAACTGGTTTGCAGTGACGGAGGAGATTGTTCCTTTGTTAGTTGTATTGATAAGGTCCTGGGTCCTTGGGGGCTTCCTTGGTGGCTCAGTTGTGGAAGAATCTGCCTGCAGTGCAGAAGACTTGGATTTGATCCCTAAGTTGGGTAGAACCCCTGGAGAGGGGAACAGCATACCCACTCCAGTATTCTGGCCTGGAGAATTCCATGGACAGAGGATACTGGTGTCCTTCAGTCAATGGAGTCGTAAAGAGTTGGACATGACTGATCAACTAACACCTGGGGACTTGGGAGAGATGGGTGAGAGGGAGAGTCTGAGGAGTGGGTAGCTGGCTTGCTCCTTTGGCCCCTTGGGTGAGATTTCAGCCCTTAGAACGAGAGCGGTCAGGATCAAGAGCTGGAGGAGTCAGATGAGGCTTTGTTGTTTGATGCAAACAGTGCTGTTTCAAGGCCCACAGGACAGTATAGCTGAGACTGGGAAAATGGTCTTGTGTTTTAATTCTACATTTGACCCTTGTTCTTGTTCAGTCAGTCATGTCTGACTCTTGGCAACTCCATGAACTACAACATGCCAGGCTTCCCTNCAGTATAGCTGAGACTGGGAAAATGGTCTTGTGTTTTAATTCTACATTTGACCCTTGTTCTTGTTCAGTCAGTCATGTCTGACTCTTGGCAACTCTGTGGACTGCAACATGCCAGGCTTCCCTGTCCATCATCTCCCAAACATGAGTTTGCTCAAACTCATGTCCATTGAATAGTCAATGATGCTATCTAAGCATCTCATTCTCACTTGACCCTATATCTGTTACAACACACACAATAGCACTTCCTAACCAGGAATTCATTCTTCGACAAAAGATGTGCTCATGTGCACTCTTGGACTTCACCCATGTTGCCGCCATAGCCCACCACCCAGAAGCAGCTGGGCTGGTAAGACTGGAAAGGCCTAATGCAGGCTCCATTGTAGTGCCAGCAGGGTGACAATATCGTGTGAGGTTGGGGTGCTATCCTACAGAATGCAGCCTACCAATGATGCTTCTGCTTTCCTCACAGACTCATAGTCCACGGGGAGCATCTGACTTCCCAGGTCTGGGTTACCTGTTCCTTCTATGTGGCTCCCACCATGGCCCCTGTTCTCTCTGGGCTCTGGTAAGCACTATTTCTTGCCTCTTCCCCTGCAGGTCTAGAGTGGGGAAGACTTCCTACTCTGTTTATCTCTGAGTTTATCCTTTGCTGGTTGCCCTCCCTTGACCACAATGCTGTGAATAGCCCCCTTCATGATAGTGTCTTGAGACATCTGAACTGGATTATTTCTTGCTGGGACCCTGACTGATACAGCCCATCTCTTTACATCTTCACTGTGAACTGAACACCTAATATTAATCCCACTTTACAGTTAAAGAGACAGAGCCTCATAGGGTTGAACTGGTTTCCCCTGGGTCAGAAGACTGGGGGCTAAGAACGGAATGCAGCTGTCCTAATAGGCACCATTACTCCTATTAGCATCGTCGCCGTGCACACTTTAGCTGAACTGGAAGAGTTTATTTCACCCGTTCCTGGTGATAGGAAAGGGAGTCCTAACTCTTCTGGTTATTTTCTAGTTTCATCTTTTAACCATCAACAAGCCAGAAAGGAAGAGAATTTGACTTTGAAGAATACTGATTGAATGGATATGAGTTCTAGGCTATGCAGATTATGTTCATTTTTACCACTGACTAGAGCTTCTTAGCAGAGAAGGCAATGGCGCCCCACTCCAGTACTCTTGCCTGGAAAATCATGGATGGAGGAGCCTGGTAGGCTGCGGTCCATGGGGTCACTAAGTGTCGGACACTACTGAGCGACTTCACTTTCACTTTTCACTTTCACACATTGGAGAAGGAAATGGCAACCCACTCCAGTGTTCTTTTCTGGAGAATCCCAGGGACGGGGGAGCCTGGTGGGCTGCCGTCTATGGGATCACACAGAGTCGGACACGACTGAAGTGACTTAGCAGCAGCAGTAGCAGAGCTTCTTAGGTATTTCATGTTGATAATATTTTCCATTCAAAATGCTGTGTGAGCTGTCTGATATTTGAACATGGGGCAGAATAGATGGACCACGATTCAAGGCAGGCCGTAGATTTTCTTGAAGTCATACTAAATGAATAGTTAAAGTTCAGACTGAATAATAAGACGACAACCATGGTGCCCATGGCTAATAACTCAGATTACAAAAAGCCAGCTAAAGATAAACTAGCAAAGTATTTCAACAGAGAATATAGTATTAGAGGTGAGTTTGTTTTTTTAAATGTAAACTTAATTGTGACTTTTTAATCAATGTAATATGAGAATATAAAATAGAGAAACTGGTATGGATATACCTGGACGCAAAATGACAGAGTGGCCAAACTCTTGTCCTGTGAAGATACTTGAATTCTAGTCCTGGCTCTGCTACATGTTGACTCTGTAACTACTGACCAGTCACTTAGTCTTTCTGACATGTTTCCTCATGTAAAAGTAAAGACTTGGGAAGGTGACATAATAAGAAGTACATGCTTGATCTCCACCCACAGTTCCTGACACAGAGCTCTTAAACCACTTGTAACTTCCTGAGTGATGAGACCAATATGAGCCTCTTACAGAGAGTCACCCAACCCTATGGGATTTCCTAGGCAATAGCACATCTTTTCTTCTAATGAGGCAATACTCTGTGGGCTCCCGGATGGCTTCAGGTTGGGACTGGTCACTAGAAAGAGTATTTATAGTTTCCGATTAAAAGATTCTCAGTATCAATCCCAGAGGTTAATCAATAAAAGGACAGTGCACAGAAACACTGTATTAGAAGAGGAGGGTTACAGCACAGCCAAAGAAATAAAAGAGAAAGTGAAGGACAAAGGCATTGACAGGCCCCATGAATGGATGGGAGGGAGCAGGACACTGAAATGGTGACAACCAGAGTAGATCAGAGAACTGGCATAGGAAGAAAAGGAACAGGTTAAGGAGGAATCTTCACCAACACCAAGGGGTTGTTTCCAGGGTCTTAAAATGGCTTACTGCCACAAGACTGTGCTTTTCAGACCTTAAGCCCAGCCTCAAAAGAACAAGTAGCTTACAGTAAACTCTCTTAGGTCCCTTCCAACTCAGCATTTTATTAATCTTGGTAACTGAGTTGAAGAGCAAAACATAACAAGCACCTACACCTTGAAGAATCCATTGATCATGTTAGGAATGTGTAAGCTGGAGTGCAGGCTAAAGTGAAAGAAAGTTAAAGTTGCTCAGTTGTGTCCAACTTTTATAGTCCATGGAATTCTCCAGAATACTGGAGTGGTAGCCTTTCCCTTCCCCAGGGGATCTTCCCAACCCAGGGATTGAACCCAGGTCTCCTGCATTGCAGGCGGATTCTTTATGAACTGAGTTAACAGGGAAGCCCGTAGGGAGTGCAGGCCAAGCTGCTGTAATAAAGAGACCTCAGAATACAGTAGTTCACATAAGAAAGACGTTCATTTCTTTCCTACTTAATAGTTCAAAGAGACCTGGGTAATAGGGGTGTGGGGGTGGGGGCAGGTGGCTGTATTCCAGATAGTGAGTCAGACCCAAGCTGTAGGGTTGATTGACCAATCTCAAGTTATGGTTTCCAATTCTGGATCCATTTCCGTTGCTATTGCTTCCCATCCAGGGAGAAGGGGAAGAAATGAAGTCCAGAGAAGGAACTTATCTTTAACTCAGTAGTGCCAGAGTTGACATATTTACTTCATAGCTCTTTGACCTGAGGTCTTCCCCAAGCCATATG